CATCGAACGCGCCATCTACATTATCCAGCGACGTCGTGGCGACGCTGTCCAGAACGTACCCCGTCACCTCCGGAGGATTGAGATGCATCACGCGCTCCACCCAGATCGTACCGTAGCTCACTCCGTACAAGGTCGTACTGAAATCGTTGCCATACTTCGAGATGAAAGTCGTCAGGTCCATGGCAGCGCTGGTGGTCGAGAAGGCCGCGAGGTCCCCGTACTTCTCCTCGAGTTCCTTTGCACATGCAGGGACCAGTTCCAGATCCAGATCGACAAAGCTTGACGACTTGGCTAGGGCCGCACACTTCAAGGGCGTACTCTGTCCAACCCCGCGGTAGTCCATCGTGTACACGTTCGCCTCGCCCTTCAGTTGCGAATACAGTATCATTATCGGAAGGTCCACTGGAACACAACCGCCCACAGCAAACGTTAGTCCTTGAAATCATCACGTGCTCCAACGGTCTTGCAGTACTTACGCAGAGAGTCCCAGTAGTTCGGGCCACCCTGAACAAGCCACACGTTTGGAGCTACATCGGGTTGTCGGTTCGCAGCGGGAATTCGCCTCACGAATACATCAACTGTCGAGATGGCCGAGTCGGGCGTTTCGCAGATCCGGGGGTGGCACAGCGGCGCAGCGTACATGGTGCATTCCGCCTTATTATCCCTGGAACTACCGTCAATGGATTTGTCACTTGTGAGGGGGCAAGGTGTCCAGGTTAGGTTAGTTGCCGCAGACACTTGTCCGAGAGCCAACGCCAAGGCGATGGCAGGGTAGAGCAGCATGGCAGAGGCCAGGTTTATTCCTTGTGTTGCTGGTTGCTGGTAAATTGGGGAGTGTCGAAGACCTTCGCTCTGGCTTGCAGCCACCGCGCGCGTCCATCCAGCCTCTTTCCAAGCTCATGATCACGAGCAATAACGACTTCAGCGATTGCGACGCTGTATGTTTTCCTTGAAGATGTTATTGTGCTTTGCAGTTATTTTGCCGACCATTTTAGACGCTAAATATGGCAAAGCTTCACAGCTGGAACGAAGTTACGGTGGAGGTATTCCCGCAACGTGCCACTTGTCGCAGTAGGTTTCGCTGTACATTCATCTAAATTAATACGTTTGCAGAAGTAGCGCGCAAATCTTGAGAGCTTGTTGTACTTCCTGTGCGAGGTACATTAAAATATGCAGTTGTACAGCCGGGACTAGCCCGGGGACGCCTGTACATGTATTAAACGTGTACAGACAACGACGGATAAATCCGGCACCACTGAATGGCATTCTCCATAGTAAATGTGCCAGAATTCTCTGTCAGGAACGATAGAGATTGTACAAGGCAATGACATAAAGTACACGTAACGGAGCATAAAGTACACACAAATTTATAGAAAGTCCTTAAAACCATATGGAATACAAATGTCAAGTGTAAATCCCGAAGTTGATTGGCTATCTGAATTACTTATTGTAAAAAGTACAACATATGTGTGCCGGGTTTTGCGTTGCCGTATTTATCTGTACACGTGCCTGTCCTCCTCGTGGGTGATGAGTCGGGGTCGCCAGTGTACCAACTTTGGACCACAAACAACCTTCTTTGGGACAATGGCAATCTAAAAAAGACGAGAACAACCACAACAGCTGGAAAGTGATCGTCAACAACCACTTTTCCGGTCACTAGCAACCTGCACATTCTAACTGTACTTTCTCAAGCATCGTACCGGTACCGGTAGCCAGATTGTCAGTTCCCAAGCTTGATCTGTTGCTCTGCCTCATTGCCAGAGCTGTTAATACCGGTACCTTACCGGCCATTTGCAATCCAGGTTGTATTTCTAGAAATCGCCACCTCTGATTGGCCAGCTGCATGGTATCGACCAGGATTGTTGCTTTGCAACTCAACTCCTATACAAACTGCAAGTCACGGTAGCAAAACGACGCCGTATGGGAGACAGTATACAAAACACAAGTGAATTCGTTTATGCAGGGTTGTAAAGCGTTTATCACCGTGGCAAGCCGTGGCACCGCCTACGGCGGCCTGGAGCTTTTCATGGCTGGTCGAACCAGCTCATACTGTCGTACCTGCACGTAGTAGGAGGTCACGTCGGAGCCGAAGGCCTGTTATGGCGGCGGGGCTACCCGTAGAGCTAGCTCCGCACCCTCCTGGTGCTGCTGCACAACCCGTACGATTTCATGCAGGCTACCTCTACCACTTCCTCATCTACGGCTACTAGGTAGGATCAGAGGCACACTCTATCCAGCTCTCACTGAGATGAGAGAACGCAAGTAAACTGTGTCATCATTTCAGACATCTTCACACAAATAAAAGCCAGCCCGCCAGACCTACCGCACAGTAGCAATCTGCGTGAAATGGAAGCCGTCCCGCGGCTACAGACTCATGAAATCGGTATGGAAGGACCCCGCAGCAGTACTGCCTGCACGCGTGAGCTGTTGCCGCTCTGTTGAAGAAAGTTAAGGTGTTCAAGGAGTACAAGGCCGTGACCAGTTCTCGCGGTCGGTACTGCACCTACGAGAGCGACGCTAGTGTATTGCAAAGAGGTTCTCGCAGTCAGTACTACATGCACAAGAGTTATTCAGCTCATTTCACAGCGCGTTGCTCATAAAGCAACCTCAAAGGGCTGGAGCAAAGTGACACATTACCTGGTACTCCATTTTTAACCAATGAGATGACGGTTGCAAAGCTGGTTGCTGAACTGGCTGGTATTTCTACGGTATTTCAAAGCACGACAAGCATACAAAACGTTGACCGCGGCGATGACCAGCGCTAACGTGTAGGTGGCTCAGCTTAAACCCCTTGATTCACAATAACTCGCGCGAGTTAATCTGAATTTCTTGATTCACAATAACTCGCGCGTGTTAATCTGACGCTCAGACTTTCAAATATTCGAATTTCATAACCTTGGTGTAATCTACACGAGAATACTGTCGGCCAACAGCTCCCCACACAACACAACAAGCCAGTACCTTTCGAGAGTTTGCGGAGAACCTAGCTGCAGCTGTCCCCACCTCAGATGTCTCCAAACCACACCTGGACGAAGTTAGCCGAGTTCCAAGGCGAAGATGCGTTAGTCAAGTTTCGCTGGTAGCGATTTTGCTGTTCTGCCATATTTTGGGTGAGGACGCGCTGGTGTATGATTTGCCCCGGGGACCACTCGATGGCTGAGCGGCGCCTTCGCTGTCAGAGTCCAAACCGCAAAGGAACTGTTAAATGTGCAACGCTCTGGAAAGTGCATGAGTGCCCGACTTCGAAGCGGTGGATTGCGTACACAAATGGCCAGCCACACGCGCGTGAAGACATAGCGTGTTCGTTACCTCCTCGCGCCAAGGTGACACGTGAAATGCGCGACTACATCCAGCGAATGGACGAAAACGCGGTACCACCACGCTTAATCTGGAGCAACATGCTTCGTGCACCTGAAATACCGACTCCAGTGCTTGGGTTTCCGACGTGCCCTCAAGTTCTGCGTAGTGTCAAGTACAATCGATGGCTGCAGGGGTCTAAAAACTCTATTGTCAGGACGAAGGAGTTAGTGAAGGCGAAGGCCTTCGTTGCTGGAGTGGATCCCGACACCGCGTTTGTGTTTGGAAATCGTGAAGATGAGCACGGCTTCCCTTTTGTTGGGAACGGGGAAGATGATGAACCGTTGATACTTGGAATCACGAGCTTGAAGCTAACGCAAAACATCAGTTCGCTACAGGATCGCGAAGCATTTCTCATTTTTCACTTGGACGCTACTTTCAAGCTGAGCGACATCGGTTACCCTGTTGTTACGTGCGGTTTCACCGATCGCCACCGAAGCTACCACCTAGCCGCGCTTTTCATTGTTAGCCAAAGGACCCGACGCGAATATTACGAATCGATTGGAGCTTTCGCACGAATTTTCAGGACCCACATGAAAAGACCACTTCGAGTTGACGTGATAATGGGCGACGCCGAAGAGGCCCAATTGAACGGACTGCGGGATGTTGCAGAATGTGCAACCTGTCCGTACCTGATGTGTTTCTTCCACGTGATGTACAATGTACGCAAGCGAGTGCGACACTTACCAGATTCGGTGCGAGCTATGGTGTATCGTGGTATTCTTGACATGCACTACACACTCAACCAAACCGAATTTTGGGAGGTGTGGGGGCGTGTATCTCAAGAGTGGCAATGCGATAGAAGGTTGCACGTCTTTTTGACATATTTCGCGGCACAATGGATTCATACCCGCTTCTGGAGATGGCAGATTTATCACTCTCCAGGGGGGTACGCTACAACCAACAACCCATGTGAAGTGTTTAATGCCAGCATCAAGCGCTATACGCAGCGCAAGGCAGCGGATACGCGCCGTTTGTTGATGAAGCTACTGACGATTGCAGAAGATTATTCGCTGTGTGTACCACCTCCCATGGCATCTGGACCAAACGCCCCGCCTCAAGTTGCCAAGCAGCTGGCCCGAACGTTAGTGTCGACCAACCGAGTCGTCGTTTACGCTACGACCGAGAAGTCGGTTGTTCGCGTGCTGTATCATTGCGGTGATCATTTGGAAGACCGCCCCGAACTGTCTGACCTTGACGAGTTGGAGGCCCCCAGCAACGTCAAAACTCCTGTCATCATATCGCCCGAGTGTTTAACAGATGCAGAAAAGGCTACCGCTGCCAAGTTCTATCAGGAAGCTGTGAAATGGTCTGTACGCCGCGCGCACCACGTTGGTATGCCACGAGGCGGGTGGGCGGTGCACCTGAGTACGTTTGAGTGCTCATGTCTTTTCTATAAGAAGTTCCTGTCTTGTGCCCACATAATCTGTGGACGTGCGGCTTACGGACTCAGTGTGCCTGGAGTTAATGGGTCCAATTTAAGATTCAAGGATAGGCGTGTGCGCCAGAAGCGTCCACAAGTGAGCAGTGCGGCTACAGTGCATGTAGATGATTCAGCTACCGGTTTACTGCTGGCAGCCAACGAAGTGTCGCTGCATGGCAATCACACCGGGTCCGATCTCAGGAGACATGCGCATAACTTCCCAGCTCAAAGTCTTGGTGTGGTCGGGTTCGATATTGGCTTCGCGCCTGGTTTCAACCTTTGTCCGCGAGATCACACCAGATACACAGCATATGCCTACAGACCAACTGGTTACACGGCGACTTTACCAGACCCGGTGGCTTTCCAGCTCGATCCACAGCATTTCCAGCCTCTCCGCCGATTGCACAGCCAAGTCCTGCAGCTCCCTCATATTCATTTCAGACTGGTTTGGCGACTTGACAAGAAACATTTACCAGTTCTGGGCCATATGTATGGTCTACGTCAACCACATCTGAGCATTTGCCACCTCCAACCGAGCCCGTCCCCATCAGACGCCAAATTGGCCGTCCCCCCTGGCCACGGCGGCCCTCGACATGCAATTTTTGTTAGATTAGTTCCTGGCAAGAGGCTACCTGCGTGTCTATACGAATATTACATCTTTTACGACTGAAGTACTTCTCAAAAGGTCGGTAATGTTGAAATGGAGGCTGGTTGTTGCCACCGATACCATGTAGTTGTTTCCTGGACCTTGCTTATATCGCAAGATCTACAAACATCTACGTCACAAAGCGATATAATTGATGACTCACATAGTATGTATTCGAATGCCACTCTGTAGGTGTTTCTGGTTTTGTGGGTAGAACAACCAGGCTCGCGTAACGAAACCACTTTCGAGCTCTCCCGGAATCTATCTTGATTTCTCAACAGCGTTTTCCGTGTTAATAATTTAGAATTCATCGGCTTGGAAGCACCTGCTAACTATTAGCACTTGGTGCCGCCAACG